ACCACCACGCCACCTGCTGGCCCCTTTCCACTGAAGTCTTACTGATGGTGGCCATCACAGTTAATTATACATAAAATATTTTATCCAAAATCACTGGTAAGAATGTAACTATTAGTAAATCCTAGTAAGATGTGAAAATCAAACATGGTAAAACTGCTGGCGGGGTGGAAGATAGCGTCAACCCACAATGATGTCAGACCCAGGCTGTGAACTCATGTCAAAAGCCAAGCCTCTGGCCACACTGAAGCCCCTGTATTTCAGAAGTGGGTTCTGCCCCCTCAGGCCAGCACAGACGACTGGGGCTAAACCACCGACCGGGGTTCTGCAGGTCCTCAGTACCTTGAAGCGAAGCGATGAACTCGTACACCTCCTCGACACTCCACCGACTAGGATTACTGGACAGGAACACAGGGTTGATGCCGTGTAATTCTGGTGTAGGGGGAGCTGTACTGGGGTTCCCTAGGTCACGTTCTCCGTGCCCAGCTCTCACTGATAACGGCCCAGGAGACGTTGGGGAGAGTGCTTCATCGTAACTGGAGTTATCTGAACCCCGGCTAGAGTCCTCTTGCCCCTGCAGCGGAAACAGCAAAGCGGTGAAGTCAGGAACAGCAGTGTCCTGCATGCCACCCCCCCTCCCAGCCACCACTAATCCGCATGGGAAGTGATCCTCTGGGCTTCATTTGCAAATGCCCGAATCTGCTCTCAAGTGTCGTCCACAACACTTCCTTGCTTCTTCCCTAAATTAACGATCAACCGAGACTTCCTCTCTTCCAGTTCAGTTTAAGGATTAACGGATATGTGAACCAGCAGCTTAAGCAGCTTGGGGAGACTCGGAGTAATGCGAGTACTGTGAAGCCCGAGTTCCATCCTGACACCCTCTGACCTGGGCAAAGGAAGTGCCCTGCAGGGGAGAGGATGGCCCACTGTGTAAGGCAGCTGGCTGCAGCCCAGCTCACCCGGTGGCGCTTGCCCTGGATCTTGGCTCGGGCGATGTCAGAGGAGCTGCGGCGGGGTCCACGCCTGCGGACGCGGGCATAGTTGGCTTCCTGAAACTCTTTCATTTTTTTCCTCTTCAGCCGGAACTGGTGGCTACAGCTGACATTGTACCTGCAGGACAGGCATACCCAGGATGTCAGAGGTGCCGTGCGAGACCACCACTGTGAACTGGTATTTTAAGACAGTTGTAGAAAGGAATGGAAGCAGAGAGGGGGACAAAGTAGCCGTGAGCCGATCCCGAGGAAGGGACGTAACTAGACACAGAGACCCGTGTGGACAGTGGGGGCGTGCCTACCCTACCTCTTCGCACACGTCATGGAGCAGAACCTCTTGGAGCCACGGAACTGCTCTGCTGGGGCGTATTTCCCACAGTACTCGCACTTCAGGAGATTCGCCTTCTTCTCCAACTCTGAAAAACAAGCAGCGCTCGAGAGTCACGGGGGGACTCTGCTGCCGCTGAGGCCAGCACTGGCCCAGAGCTGGATTCTAATCGTTCTCGGGTTTGCCTCCCAAAGTCCAACCCTACGTAACTGAGAATCCCTAAAGCACAAAAGTTCAGAGTTCAAAACCGTGATGTCTCATCCCTCAAGAACATTAAGAAGTCTTCAAAGTCTTCCTTAAGTCAACTATCTCCTTTTTAAATACCTTATTTTACCAATTTTATCCTAATTCACAGTCTCACATTTCAGATGACTGATTTCTGGACAGGAAAAAGGAATTACTTATTACCCCCACACAGGAGGAAAGGTAAATCTAAGTCCTTAGTATACTTATAACATCTAGACTAAGGAGAACTGGAAATTATAAAGTCCCGTTTCAAGTCATTTTTGAAAAACACATTCTTGTAATGCATAAGTCGACAGTTACTTTAGCTTGATAAAACGCCCCTAACCCTAGGTCCAGCCCATGGCGTGGTGGATGAGGGGCTGGGTCCCACACGGTCTGGGTGCCAGATCTGCTGGCTTGAACAACATGCTAGATGTGCATGCACGAGCGCCCAAAGTCCCGAGAGAATGAAGGGACTGCACCGTGGCCATCCTCCGAGAGGTTCTTTCTCACCTTTTCTTTCTGTCTCTCTTTCTGTTAAGAATTATTTATTTTAATTTTATTTATTCATTCATTTATTCCACCTTGACCAGAGAAAGATACAGAGAGGCAGGGAAAACAAGAAAGCCAGCCACCATGCCTGGGATTCAAACTGTGGTCAGCCATGTGGGAGTGTCCAGCACCTTAACCACCATGCCACCTGCTGGCTCCTCTCTCTTTCTTCTTTTTTCCTTTTTCTTTTATATATATTTTTTATTTAACTTTATTTATTTACTTTTTTTTTTTTTAATTTGACCAGAGAGGGACAGAGTCAGAGAGAGAAAAAGTGAGAAAGCAAGCCGCCAGGTCCAGGACACTCAAACCATGGTTAGCCAGGTGGGAGTGTCCAGCACCCTTAACCACCACACCATGTGCCACACCCCCTCCTTTAAGCAAGTGAACATTCCTTATAGCAAATTTTTTAAATGCACCTAATCCTATATAAGTCGTTTTGTGGGATTCTACATACTGATGTATAAAACAGTTTCTATATATGGATGTTCTTTATGTAATTCCTACATTAAATGAATAATGAATATAAAACAGGGAGTTACATGAGTCCTCAAACACAGGCCCAGTTGTCCCGTTGCCCAGATGACTCCCTAAGTACTTACCCACAGATGGACTGTCCCCTCCCAAGGGGCCACCTGGCTGATTCTCACTCAGTGCTGCTGGGAGGCCCGTCTGTAGCGGCTTCTCAGCCTCCTTCAGTAACTGAGAACAGCCCACCTGCCCCAGGAAGAGTTCACAGTTAGCTCAGCCTCTGCCTCTGCCTCTCGGGGGCGCTCCCCAGCATCCCCATCATCCTGCCTTTGACTGACCTCGTCACCTCTGTTCTGGCAGTGCATGGCCAGGACCAGCTCAGAGAGCATCACTTTCACTCTGGCAATCAAGAGCCTAACTCGCTTTTTCAGATAAGCCACTGGAGGACAGGCTCCTACCCTGGCTCCCGGTGGTGCCCTTCTCCTTCCTGAGGTGCAGGGTATGCACCAGGAGTCAAATACGTGGGTTCAAGCCCTGGGTCTGCAGATCGTGATAGCTACTGTGATTTCCTTTATTATAAAACAACCTTTTTCTGACTGACACTAGTTTTAAGGTTACTTTCTTCTTTTTCTCTCCTCTTCCCAACATGTTTATTTTCTAATCTACATTTTTTCTCTTCCTTTCCTTCTTTACAACTAAACAGCACAACTAAGCGATTCTCTACTAATTTAATAGTTCTGTGCCTTTTATTTCTAGCAGACTTGGAAGAGACAACGTGAAGAACCAAGTCCTCGCTCGGAAGTCCCAGCCTATGGGCCTGTCCTCACCGGGAAAGGTTCCGCTCCTTCCTGGATGACGAAGCCTTCGATGATGTGGGTGAGAATCTGAGGCTTCACGATGGCCTGTGGGGGTTTTGAGTCACCCATCTGTCTGGACACCATGGCTAGCGTAGGAGGCGGTGCGGATGGCGCAGGGGTCAAGGCTTGGAGTTCACTGCTTGGAGTATTAGCATTCACACTGGCCACTGGTTCAGCTTTCTCTGGAAAACAGATTAAGGCACAGACATGGGATGGCATAAGCGATCCATCTGCTCTGAGCCAGCCCGGCCCTCCACAGCAGTAATACGCGCTCACTCTTCATCATGCACCCTGGCGTCCCTGTTCTGGGATCCACTGGTTTTCCACCACGTTCAGGCCCATTTTCTACTGATTTAACTAGGTTAACCTTTTAGCCCACTCAGAACATTTCTCTATTCTCTGTGCATCCCAACAGTGTCACGGATACCTCCAAGACTGCTTTTTTCCTCTAGGACCTTTGGGCTCTCTGCCACTGGAGATGCCTTGGCAGCCAGCACTGAGCCCAATGTGGACACGTCGTCTCTCTCCTCCTCAGACTCGGCCTTGCGTTTGACAGTCAGGGTCTGGGGTTTACCCTATATGATGAAGAACAGAAAAGAAGCCAAGATATAGAGGGGAGGATTATGAAGAACCACAATTACCTCCATACTGTCAGAGAAAGTTTTCTGAGTTCCAGGCTCCCCATATTCCCGTGGTACACTAAACTTCCTGGTCATTCTCAAGAAGTGCAACTTCGACGTCAGGACAGAAGAAAATGCAACATTATTTAGTCTGAGCCTAGGTCCTGAGACTCTGCTCATGCACCATGGACTAACCAGGAATTGCTGTTTTATATGAAGCCTAATTTCGTTGAGGCTGTACTACCTTTTCAAATTTTTGCCACAGGACATGTGCACTTGCCAAAAAGAGACAGGAGAAAGCACCCTGCAATCCCTCCTCCATCTCTCTCCTTTCGGAATTCTGGGCACACATTCACACACACCTGGCGTTTCTCAAGCCATCAGGTCTGGGACTCAGACTGAACAGTCAAGCATGCAGGATCCAATTGCCTTAGCAACATGCCACAAGCTGGCCCTGGTTGAGGCTTTTTTTTTTTGGGGGGGGGGTCGCTATAGGGTACGTGCGCTCGCCAGAAAGACAGAGACAGAGACAGAAAGCGAGAAATCATCCCCTAGGGGGGAGGACCATGCCGCAATCCCTTCTCCTCCATTCTCCTCTCAGGATCTTGGGCACGCACACACATGCGCCCGGCATGAGTTTAAGCCACCGGGTCTGGGACTCAAACCGCAGTCGACTACATGGGTGTCCAGCGACATAGCCATTACACCAACTGCTGGTCCCAAGGCTATCTTAATCTAACGTGGTACATGTCCAAAACCCCAGTGTTTTCAGTACCATGTTTACGAATATAACACTCAGGTGTATGAATTAATGCCCCTCCCTCTCTTAAAAAAAGGCAAATAAATATTAACCTTCTGAACTCTGTTTTTTTTTTTTATTTTAGGCTTTTGCCATACGGCGCATATGCTCACCAGAGAGCAACAGAGAAAGTGAGAAATCAGCCCCCCACCCGGGCAGATGGCCTCGCAGTAATCCCTACTCCTCCATTCTCCTCTCTCAGGACTTTGGGCACACACACATGTGGCCATGTGAGAATTGAGCCACCTTAACCACCACGCCACATGCTGGCCCCTGAACTCTGTATTCCGCTCAGCCCCGGCCCACTCTCATGGATGACATGCCTCTGAAAGCCTCAGACGTCACTTACCGGCAGGTGAACAGACTGCATGTAGAAGGCAGCAGGGACCTGAGCTACGACAGGTGAGGAAGTGGTTGCCCCGCCCTTTACCACGTGCGCTGTCCCCTGCACGGGAGCGAGGGTCATCCCGGGAGCCAGCGTAGGCGGGCACTCCTGCAGCGCACCAGGAGCCTGGGATGCAGGTGGTGAGGAGGCCAAATGGGCCTGGCCGGGCGGCACTGTGCCTGGCAGCCCCCGGGAAGTAGGCACGGCTGCTGCCAACTGTGCCAACCCCAAAGCCTGTGCCTGGGCTGTCCCCGGCTGTCGGGTACCCACGACTTGCACGGGGATGTGGGGTGGTGGCTGCTGGGTAGCTGACATCTTAGCAGCCCCTAACTGGGGAGGCTTGATAGGTGCAACAGGTGGCTTGGATTGGATAGGGATCGGTGGCTTGGGGGCTGGGTCAGGTGGAAGGGACAGGGGTGAAGACTGAAGCATGGGTTGAACAACCAGGGTTTGGGCTTGCTGCTGGGACTGGGACGGTGGGACCTGCTGAGTAGGCGGGACCTGCGGCGGCTGAGGGGCAGGGAGGGTTGTGGCTTGCTGCTGCTGCTGCTGCTGCTGGGCCAGCTGGAGGTGTGTCGCCGTGTGAAGCAGCTGGGACTGCCGGTGCTGGAACTGCTGCTGGTGGTGGATGGCGATCTGCTGCTGGATCACCACCTGCTTCTGCTGGAGGTGGATCTGCTGCTGCTGCTGGATCAGCGAGTGGGGCTGGATCTGTGTGTAGGTGGCTATAGGGATAAGCCCAGAAGGGAACAGGAAGAAAAGGAGCCGAAAAGGATTGTTCTAAATTAGAAGCCGAGCCATCTTTCCGAGGTACATAGACCTGCCTCTGAGGCAGACAGGACCAACCACCTCGTCTTGATGCTCTCAAAGTACTCCCGGCTCAAGAATTTGACAGCCCTCGGTCCTTTCGCATGTTCTTTTTCTTTGCTGTACCTGAATATCATACCCTTTCACTCTGTACAAAGGAAACCTGGTTGGCCGTGCCTCCCGTATGACTGGAGTTGGGGATTCTCGAGGCTGAGTCCACGCTTTATTCTTTTGCATACCTCCAGGGCCCAGCCCAGTGCCTGACATGAGAAGTACGTAATACTCACTGCAGAAAAGATATCAAGAGTGGAAAATACCCATTGTTCCCCTGAATACCTCGACATTTTTCTCCAAGAGAGATTTTTGCTACAGGGCAAGTATGCTTCCTAGAGCCAGAGAGAAAGTGAGAAATCACCTCCCAGCAGGGATGGCCACTGCACAGCCCCTTCTCCTACATTCTCCTCTTGGGATTTGGGGCACACACACACGCACACCCAGTATTGAGTTTCAAGTCACCAGGTCCAGGACTTGAAATGCGGTCGGCCATGTGGGTGTCCAGTGCCTTAACCATTATGCCACCTGCTGGCCATGAGTACCTCACCTCAACTTTACACATCAGTTTAGGTCACCATCTAAGAAGTCTTAAGAGTTGGCAGCTGGGACCAGCAGGTGGCGTAATGGCTACGTTGCTGTAATGGCTACATCGCTGGACTCTCATGTAGTCAACCACGGTTCGAGTCCCAGACCGGGTGGCTTAAACTCAAACCAGGCGCACGTGCATGCATGCCCAAGATCCCGGGAGGAGAATGAAGGAGAAGGAATTGTGGCATGGCCATCCCCCTTGGGGGTGATTTCTTGCTTTCTGTCTGTCTCTCTCTTTCTGGCGAGCACACGTGCCCTATAGCATAAACCTCTCCAAAAAGAAAAAAAAATAAGAGTTGGTAGAGTTGGCAGCTGTGGGCATGGTGTTTAAGACACTAGACTCCCACATGGTTAACCATGGATCAAGTCCCAGACCTGGCAGCTTGTTCTCACTTTCCTTCTTTCCTGTCTCTCTCTGGTGAACGTATGTGTCCTACAGCAAATTTAGAAATAATAAAGGTCAGACAGTGGCATGGTCATTAAAATGCTGGACTCCCACGACTCCCACATAGCCAACTGCAGTTCAAGTCCTGGACCTGGTGGCTTGCTTTCTCACTTTCTCTCTGTTTCTCTCTAGGAAGCACAGAAGTCCTATAGCAAGATTTTAAAAATAATAATGATAACAAATAAAATTTAAGAATATTAATAAAGAAAATAATAAAATTAGATCATTCCTTTTTTTTTTTGGAGAGGTTTTTGCTAGAGGGCCCGTGAGCTCGCCAGAGAAGACAGAAAATGAGAAATCAACCCCTGGTGGATGGCCACGCTGCAATCCCTTCTCCTCCATTCTCCTCTCAGGATCATGGGCACGCAAGTACATGCACCCAGTGTGAGTTTAAGCCACCAGGTCCGGGACTTGAACCACAGTCAACTACATGGGAGTCCAGCGACATAGCCATTACACCAACTGCTGGTCCCAATAATTCCTTTTCTTTTAAAAAAGTAAATTTATTTATTATGATCATTATTATTTGTTTTAATTTGACCAGAGAAAGACAGAGAAGGTGAGAAAGTAAGCTGCCAGGTTCGAGATTCATACTGCGGTCAGCCATGTGGGAGTCCAGCGTCTTTAACGATGCCACTTGCCAGCCCCGAATAATTATTTTTAAAGTCAACAGCTGTAAGCTCTGGCTATACTGCCTTCTACTACCCCTCCATATCGTGTCAGATTGCCCACAGAACATGCCAAGCATATGAAATGGAAAGCACTTTGGAAATACCAGTGCTACTGTATGTAAATGCCAAATATCAGTAATAGCTCATCTTCATTTTTTTAATTACTTATTGAAGTTTATTTATTCATTCATTCATTTTTAATTTGACCAGAGAGATACACACAGACAGAGAGAGAGAGAGAGAAGATAGGAAAGCAAGCCACCAGGTCCAGGACTTGAACCGTGGTCAGCCATGTGGGAGTGTCCAGCACCTTAACCACTACGCCACCTGCTGGTCCCAGTAATAGCTCATAAGTAATTATCCAAATGTATTGACTAAGATGCTGGAAAGAAAGAAGGCAAAGAGCGACAAAACCAAAAGACGCACACATCGAACTTGATCTCCCCCACAGTCTGAAAGCAAGGATAAATTACTTAAGGTTATTATAACTTACTCCATTTTATCCTAACTGATTCAGCACATCAGAAGTGGACTGCAAGGAACCATGGCTCGGGGTCAGCAGGTGGCGTGGTGGTTAAGGGTGCTGGACTCCCACATGGCTGACCGCGGTCTGAGTCCCGACCTGGCAGCTTGTGTTCTCAGTTCCCCCCCACCGCCACCGTCAATTTCAAATAAATAAATAAAGTTAAATAAAATAATTCTTTAAAAAGAAAAGAAACCATGGCTCTGCCTGCTAGTCTTAAGTGCTCTCGGCATTTACACTGTACACACCTCCCTGCTGTAACTGCACCAACTAAGCACCATTCAGCACAGAGCGAGGAGAGAATGCATTCCTGGGGCTGAACTGTAAGTTACATGAGGACAGGCTGGCTGCTTTTCAAACACGAATCCCAGGCACCCAGAACACAGCAGACAGTTCAGTAAGAACTGGGCGAATAAATGGAAGAGAGAATAAACTGAAGCCTTCGTGTCTATCAAAGCGGATAGGGCAGCCTGTAAAGGACAGCTACCCGGTGGAAGCAGACACAATGCCCTGTTTCCCACATGACTTACCAGTTTGAGTCTCAGACCTGGCAGCTTGAAAATCATGCACGGCACGTGTGCATGCATGCCCCAAATCTCAGGAGAAAGGAGAAGGGACTGTGGCAAGGCCATCCCCCTGGGGGTGATTTCTAACTTTCCCTGTTTCTCCCCAGCAGGCACACGCAGGTGCAAGGTGATGACTCACCTGAGCTAATAAGCGTCTGGCTGGGGGCAGGTGTAGCAGTCCGGGTCAGGTTCATGCCCACGTTCTGCTGGCTGCTCCCATCAGCCTCTGCCTTCTTGGCCGCTGCACTTTCAGCCTCTGTCTGGCTGCCCTGGCTCACAGTCACTGTTTGGGCTGCAGGCAAGGGCTGCACCACTCCCGTGCCCTTCCTGGGACAGGTCCCACCACCCATTCCTGAGGAAGGCAACTGACCCAAACCCCCAGGTGCCTGGCCACCTCCGCCTGGACCCATGGACCCTGGGATGCTATTCCCACTGCCTCCACCTTGACTAAGGTTGAGGGACTGGCCTGAGGCCCCAGAGGAAGCCTGTGCTACAGCTAGGGCCTGGCTCGAGGCCTGGGAGAGGCTAGAGACGGGGGAGGCTCCAGGAGGAATGGCCTTCTGAGTGGAGCCTTGCATTTGGGGTCCTTGGGCTGAGGCCTGTTGGTTCCTCACTGCCAAGTTCTGCACCTGAAAGACATGAAGAACAGAAGGGAAGCATTAAGATCTCTGACTGATTCAAAAGGCGCCAAGATCAACTCCAATGTCATGTTCCACAGCCCCCCTTTACAAGGACACATAGTAGGCTTTCCGGTCTCCCAGGAACTTCAGAATCACATCTGATTTTCAGTCACCTTCATTCACTTTCAAGCCTATCATCAAATTTGGTCATTTATTCCTTCAGAATGTCTCTTCAATTTTCTCTGTCCTCTGCATTCACTCCACATCTGTCAAATACCTCCTGTGCTTCAAGCACTATATGGGACACTGGGAATGCAGGGGTGAAAAGCACAGTCCCTGCCACTGAAGAGTACTTTCTAATGGAGAAGAACGACAATACCAAATGTGACACAGTGCTAGGGAGGGGTCTGCACAGAGTGCTCTGGGAGCAGAGGATCGACTCAGTCTAGGGAGACGGAGCAGGGCTTCCTGTAGCAGGTGACACCCAACCTGAGACTCAGGAGGTCACGGTGAAGGTGGAGGTTTGAGCACACAGGAAACAGCATCTGCAACACCAATGAACCAAGAAAGAGCACAGCCATTTCAGCAGGTGAAAAATATTTCATTATATTTGACATGAATTATAGGAAAAAGAAACTGGTTAGGAACTGAGGCTAGGGAGGCAGAAAAGGTGCCTGGCATGTTAGAGTTAGAGCCTGCCTTCAGTTTGGAAATAGCACATTTGTCTCACGCATGGTTATATTCCAACACCAAGCATGTGTCTGGTGGAGGGGGAGAGCCTGAATAAGTTGTCCAATAATAACTGTTGGGGCTGGACGGTAGGTAAATAGGATTTATATTTTTTTCTATTTGTATAGGTTAGAAATTTTCCATAATAAAAAGCACTTTCTCAGAAATACACACTGAGTAATAAAACTACACAAAATGATGAACCTAGAAATCAGAATGACTGTTTCCCTGGGTAGGAACAACGACTGGAACTACAGATTACTTATTATAATATCAAAAGTTACGCAGTAAATAAGTGAGCTATGAATGGACCAACAGGAATGTCATGAGCCAAGGATTATAATTCATCAAAATCTGGGGGCCAGCAGGTGGCATAATGGTTATGTCGCTGGACTCCCACACAGTTGACTGTGGTTTGAGTCCCGGACACAGCGGCTTGAAACTCCCGTTGGACACATGTGCATGCATGCCCAAAATACCGAAAGGAGAATGGAGAAGAGATTTCAGCATGGCCATCCTGGGAATGGTGAGTTCTTACTTTCTGTCTCTCTTTTCTCTCTCTGTCTCTCTAGCAAGCACACACACCCTATAGCAAAAGATTTCTCTTAAAATAAAAAATAATAATATATCAAATTTTGTGCACCAAAGATACTATTTAAAAAGTGTCAGGGCAAGGGCCAGCAGATGGCATAGAGGTTAAGGTGGCTGGATCCCACATGGCCCACTGCACAGCTCAAGGTTCAAGTCTCTGACCTGGCGGTTTGTAAATCGTGCTAAGCACATGTGTGCACATGCCCCAAATCCTGAGGCAATAGACAAAAAACAGTGGTGTGGCCATGCCCCTGAGGGGTGATGTTGTATACTTTCTCTCTCTCTCTCTCTCTCTCTCTCTCTCTCTCTCGTGAGCCCACATGCCCCATAGCAAACTAAAAAAAGAACTAATTAAATAAATAATATCAGGACTGACCCCATAGCCTGGTGTTTTAGGGAGTCAGATCCCACAGGGTCAACTGCATCCCATTTTCAGCCCTTGCACCTTGAAAAATATGCCTGGCACGTGTGTGTGTGTTTCTCAAATGCTACAGGATGGAAAAACGGAGAAGGGATTGCAACGTTAGTTACCATGCCCACCTTGGGGTACTTCCTCCCTCTCCCTCTGACTCTCTCTGACAAACATGCACACCCTCCCACAATTAAACCAAAAATCAGGAATAACATGTTGAGTTGCCAGGAAAATCATGATGCATTTTTGCACCGAAAAACATGCCATGACTTTCCCAAAAACCTAATACTTATTTTTTTGCCACAGTCCCTTCTCCATTCTTCTCTTGGGAGTTTGGTCTTGCACATGCATGCTCCTGAAACGTTTTTCAAGCTGCTGGGTCCAGGACTCAAACCACCGAGTTAGCCATGTGGGATCTAGCACCTTAACACCACATGACCTGCTGGCCCAATATATATTTTCTTATTAAAGAAAAATTATCTTAACCAAAAATAATCCTCATAGTAATGTGGATGGGAATTTCAAGTAAGTAACCCTGAAGTCAGGAAGACTAGCAAACTGGTCAGAAGACTAGAATCCAGGCAAGTGTAAGAGCCTGAACTCAGGCAGCGGTAGTGAAGAAGAGGTGACAGCTCTTGAGAGCTATTAGCGAGAATCATCAGGACTGGGTACTGGGTACTGGGCACTAATGTTAATCTGGCAATTATATAGTTCTCTAAGCAGCTTTCTTTCCATAAGTGGCTAATTCAAACTCTCCTACTCTCCCTATGCCTCAGAACCTCCTTCTCTTTCGCCTCTCACACGGCATCTCTCCAGAGAAAAGAAAAAGGATTATGCGCGCACCCCACCATCTATTCCACCACCACCTACCCCTTTACCTGCACACGCATCCATTACAGCCCTCTCCCTCTCCCCTTCCTCCTACCAAAAGCAAGTCCTGGGACCAGCAGTTAGCGTAATGGCTATGTCGCTGGACTCCCCCATAGTCGACCGCGATTCGCCTCCCGGACCCGGTGGCTTAAAACTCACGCCGGGCGCATGTGCATGTGTGCCCAAGTTCCCGAGAGGAGAATGGAGGAGAAGGGATTGCGGCATGGCCATCCCCTCTGGGGGGTGATTTCTCGCTGTCTCTCTGTCTCTCTCTGCCTGTTTGGCGAGTGCATGCGCCCTATAGCAAAAACCTCTCAAAAAAAAAAAAAAAGCAAGTCCTGGGCCAGTCGCTGGAGTGGTGGTGAAGGCATTAGATGCCACATGCCTGACCTAGTCGTCAAAGTCCAGACCCAGCATCCTGAAAAACACGACAAGTACACGTGTGTGCAGGTCCGAAATGCCAAAAGGAGGGAGAAAGGGAAGAGAAGGGTTTCTGGCATGACCATCCCCTATTCTGAGTGCTTTCTCACCTGCCTCTCTGTCTCTCTCCAGTGAGCACAAACACTATGGGAAAATCTTTTTAAAAGGCAGTCTTAGGGTCAGCAGATGGCATGGTGGGTAGAGGCACTGGGTTCCCACATGGCTGGCTGCGTTTCAAATCCCGCACCTGGGAGCTTGCTTTCTCACTTTCCCTTTCTCTCTCAGTCTCTCTCTGGTCAAGTTTAGAAAAATAATAATAATAACAAATGGAGTTAAATTAATTAATTTTTTTTAAAAAGGCAGTATTTCTCTGCTCTGGATCCTGTCTCCTCCTGCCTTCTCAAGAGGTTTATAATATAAATAACCCCCTGTGTTCAAATTCTCCTTGCCCGCCGGCTCCCCCGTAACCGTGTCTGAAGTGCACATCCCCATTTAGCCCCCTCCCGGCTCTACTACCTCTTTCTCTTTCTTTCTTTCCAGAGAGAGATATTTGTTCTAGAGTCCGTGCACTCACCAGAAAGACAGAGCGAGACAGAGACAGACAGTGAAAAATCACCCCCCTGGGGGATGGCCACGCCATAATTCCTTCTCCCCCATTCTTTCTTCAGGGATCTTGGGCACGCACACACATGTGCCTGAGTCTAAGCCACCGGATCCGGGACTCAAATCACTGTCGACTACATGGAGTCCCGCGACGTGACCATCCCGCCATCTGCTGGTCCCTCTACTATCTCTTAATACTCTCAACCCAAGCCTCCCGAGTGTCTTTCCGCAGTAGTTCCCTACTTCTCTCCATGCACAATTTTCCAGATGACTCTTTCTAAAGTACTGGACTGTCAGAAAAGCCAGGACATGTTTTTTCTGATTTTCTGTGCAAAAATACGTCCTGGGGGCCAGCAGGTGGCATGGTAGCTAAGGGTGCCGGGCTCCCACAGGGCTCCCACATGGCAGATCACCGTTTGAGCCCAGACCTAGCAGCTTGCTTGCTTTCTCGCTTTTTCTCTCTCTATCTCTCTCTTGCCCCCTTCCCTCCCTTCTCCCTCCCTGGTCAAATTAATAATAAATAAAGTTAAATAAAATAATTCTTTTTAAAAAAAAAACACATCATGGGACCAGCAGTTAGCGTAATGGCTATGTCGCTGGACTCCCACGTAGTCGACCACTGTTTGCGTCCCGGATCCGGTGGCTTAAAACTCACGCCGGGCACATGTGCGTGTGTGCCCAAGATCCCGAGAGGAGAATGGAGGAGAAGGGATTGCGGGCGTGGCCATCCCCCCTGGGGGGTGATTTCTCGCTTTCTGTCTCTCTGTCTCTCTGTCTAGCGAATGCGTGCGTCCTATAGCAAAAAAAACCTCTCTACAAAAAAAATTCATCATGACTTTTCCGACAACCTGACACTTTCCTCTTCCTGTTACCCGGCCGTCCGATAGCCAGCAATGGGCCCTGTCACTGCGATGTTCGCTACAACCTTCACTTGGCTTGTAGGCTCCGCTTCCTATCCGTGGCCTCTGCTACCACCAGGCCTGTTGTCTACACTATCCAGCCATCGCCACTCAGATTTACATATGTGAAAATGCCCTTCCACTTCCTGTTCTCTCCAGCTTTCTTATTCGAGATCACATCACACATACAAAATCCTTCCACATCCTGCTCAAATATCCCAGAGCAATGCAGCCAGCCAGCTATCTAAACTCATGTGCCACTCAAAGTTAGTACTATTTAGTTTAGCACTTTGGTTCAATAAGCCTTTTAAAGATGTGACTCACTTTCTTTTTTTTCTTTTTTTGAAGAGGTTTTTTGTTATAGGGTGTGTATGCTCGCCAGAGACAGCGAAGAGATAGAAAGCGAGAAGTCACTCCCAGCGGGGATGGCCATGCCACAATCTCCTTCCCATTTCCTTCTCAGGATTTTGGGCACACACACATATGCGCCCAGCATAAGTTTCAAGTGTCTGGGTTCGGGTTCAGGACTTGAACCGTGCTCAGTTATGTGGGAGTCCAGGGACGTAGCCATTACTACATTTGTTGGTCCAGTGACTCACATTTTTTAACACTCTAACGTCCAGTACGTATCTGAGCTCATCAATAGAAAGTTCAATTTACTTCCTAACTCGTAAACTAAAAGGATAAAATAATTATCCTAAGAACCTAGTGGTTAAAGGAGCTATATTTCACATGGCCCAAAATTGTTCAAATTCCAGATCCGGTGGCTTGAAAAACTGTTCAGCGTGTACACATGCACGCCCCAAACCTGGCAGGGTGGAGAAACGGAGAAGAGACCGTGGCCATGAGCACGCCCCACTGGAGAGCTCTTCCTACCTTCCTGTCAAGCAAATGCACATGCCCCCTGGTGAAAGGAAGGAAAACTCCTGGTTTATATCTTATCCATAAGTTAAAAATGTAGGTGCCAAATAAATGCATTTGGGCCAGCCCTATGGCCAGCTGTTAAGGAAACCAGATTCCACATGGCTGACTGTGCAGTTCAAATCCCAGATGTGGTGGCCTGAAAAACATGCTTGATCCTGACAGGATGGGGAAATGGAGAAGGGACTTTGGTGTGACGACACCCCAGTGGGGGGATACTTTCTCTCTCTCTCCCTCTCTCCCTCTCTCTCTCTCTCTCTCTCTCTCTCTCTCAAGCATACACACCCTCTGGCAAAATTTTTAAAACACTGGGCCAGCAGATGGCATGGTGGCTAAAGGCGCCGGACTCCCACATGATCGACCATGGTTCACATCCCGGACCTGGTGGCTTGCTTTCCTGCTTTCCCTCTCTCTTTCTCTGTCTCTCTCTGATCAAACTGAAAAATAATAATAATAATAATAGATATAAATAATTCTCTTTAAAAAAATTTTAAATACATGTTTAAATTATGTTCCGAAGTAGGGAACCTCCTAAAATGTTTACATATTTGAGGAATAAGCCATGAAAGGTAATGGTGAGACAGATATTTACTAGGAAAACAGTGAACAGCACAAGATACTGAAATTGAGAACAGTAACATGTGAGCAGAAGGAGCCAAATGTTTCCCCAGTAACACAGCCAGGCCAGTTTCATATCTAACTAACTGTAATCCCTCATTTACGGAAGACAGCACTAAAAGAGAGAATTAAGATTCCCTGAGTAAAACTGAGCCAAAGAAGCCTAGAAGGATGGTCAAGAAATGTACCCTCTATTGAAATAGGACTTCCCAGGGACCCGCAGTTAGTGTACTGGCTATGTTGCCGGACTCCCATGTAGTCGACCGCAGTTCGAGTTCCGGACCCAGTGGCTTGAACTCACACCAGGCGCGTGTGCATGCGTGCCCAAGATCCCGAGAGGAGAATGGAGGAGAAGGGATTGTGGCATGGCCATCCCCCCTGGGGGCTGATTTCTCACTTTCTGTCTCTCTGTCTCTGTCTTTGGCGAGCGCACGTGCCTTATAGCAAAAACCTCTCAAAAAAAAGGAATTCCCAGAGCCACTGGTTCTTTTCAGGAAAATCTACTTCCTTTTCTATCTCAAATCAGTTCCAACACTGCAAGATATCCAAACGCTATAGCAGTGAAGGGAAAGAAAAATAAAACACAGAAAACAGAAAGTTTGGCAAGGTGGAGAGTGGCGCCACAGTAGAACACGATGCTCCGAGGGCTGGCCACGTGGAAGGGTTCCGGGTCTGCACTGGAGACCTCCCGGAGCACGTCAAGCCTGTGCAGCCTGTGACCCAGGCTGCCTGGGGCCGTGCGGGGACGGTAGCCTCGGGACTCTTGAGGGTGCCGTCTCGGTCTTTCTCTCTCATACAGAAAAAATAAATACACTTTCTAAAAAATCAATAGAGAGCTCTGAACAGCAGTGATAGGGCAGAGGGTGGTCCCTGGTCCGCAGTCGTCCCTTCGTCCTCCCCAGTGTCCGTCCACAGGCAGAGTGGTTTCCGCTGACCTGATCTGCATCTGCATGAACGCCAGGAGACTGAGCAGATGGCACTTCTTGCTGGACTGCAGCCACTGCCCCGTTAGGCATCAGGATGAGTTGGGAGGCTAGAGGCACATTCCGGCCCAGGGTCCGGTTCACCTGCAACAGGTTTCCCAGCTGTGGCTGGCAAGGAGAGGTGGAGGAAGAAGAGCACAGAGGACAAGAGGAAAAGAAGAGACAGAAGAAATGGAAGGGAAGGACCACAAGACAAAATAAACAGAAGATATTAAACAGCTAAGCCCTGCCTCTTTCCACACCAACCCAGAGTCTCTTACATATGTGGGGAATTATCCAGAAGGAAACCTAGAATGTGTAGGAAACTACAGACTGATAACGAAGAGTCAATTACAGAGGTGAGACGATGAGGAGCTTAGAACGAGTTCTAATGCATAGTGAGTAGACAGGCTGGGAGGGAACACTTAGAATTTGTGTGTTTACGCCACAGATTTAAAGGTCAGACTATTTCTAACAACACTTTAGTCAACCCTAAGGCTAACATCATCTAGTTTGGGATCTTGATGTGATCTGATGGTGACCTATGAATACTGAGCATCACTTCTAGGCTAAGTCAGTCACGGGAAATAGACCAGCTAGTCTCAAAACACCTGGGTAATCGTGGGTAAGTAAAACCACTTTCTCTCCGGTCCTCTCTGTCCTTGGTGGGACGATTATGTCCCTGGGACAATCGCGACCATGTCTATGGCTTACCCGTAGATACATCTGGGCCTGGGACTGGTTGAGAGGTGGGGAGGTGGTGTTCCCCAGCAGCACAGACTGGGTCAAGGTAGTGGCGCTGGGAGAGCTCACACTTTGGGACCGGCTGATGAGCTGGGCGGCCGACGTGGTGGCCAGGTTGATCTGTGTGGTACAGAAAGGGACCAAGACTAAGGATTTGGGAGAGATAAATTTACACAGCTGACAAATTCAGATGTGGCACAGTCAAAAACAGACCCTCTCTCTCACTTTCATGGAGTCGGAGTCAGGAAAAATGAGTATTACCTTCCTATCCAATACTATCAGCCTGGCTACTTTGGGGTGATACCAACATGGAAACAAAAGACCCCATTCGTTATCAGTATCTGAAGAGGCAAAAGAATGAGCTGGAAGAGATTTTACTTCTCATTTAGGATTCCCCTTCTTGGGACCAGCAGTTAGCGTAATGGCTGTCGCTGGACTCCCACGTAGTCGACCGCAGTTAAGAGTCCCGGACCCGGTGGCTTAAAACTCATGCCGGGCGCGTGTGCGTGCGTGCCCAAGATCCCGAATGGAGAAGGGATTGCAGCGTGGCCATCCCCCCAGGGGGTGATTTCTCGCTTTCTATCTCTCTGTCTCTCTCTGTCTGGTGAGCGCACGCACCCTGTAGCAAAAACCTCTCCAAAAAAAAAAAAAGATTCCCCTTATTTCGTTATCACCTCTTCTTCCTTAGGATTTTCTTCCAGCTTTCTTAGATTTCGACACGGAAATGGATTATTATCTATTGAGGATAAGGTGTCTAATATGCTGAAGTGAACTGGCGTGAAGTGTAGTCATATTGGGTAAATTCACTTTACAAGCTAAGTGATGTATACTGATTAATGTATAAAATAAAATATAACTAAAAAAAAGACTCCATACAGACCCAAGTTGTTACCTTGCTCTTCCATTTTTCTCTACTTAAGAGCAGTCGATACCCATGACACCCGCTAAACACTCTCAGATCATCTGTACAAAGCAGTCAAACCCAGCGGCCACGACCCAGGGCGAGAAGCCTCTCGGGGGCAGGGGACTCACTGAGGCCTGAGTGGTGGTGGCCTGCTGCTGGGCAGTGCTGGTGTTTGGGGAGCTGGCCTGTCGACTGGCAGCAATCGTAGCCTGTTAAAGGGAAAGGGAAAGGGAAATAAGAAATAGCAGAGACCATCAAAGGGAAAGCTCTGTCTTCCAGCAGTAAATCACAGGTCTAAAACATATAACGATTTGGGGGCCAGTAGGTGGCATGGTGGTTAAGGCGCTGGAATCCCACATGGTTGATCATGGTTTGAGTCCTGGACATGGCAGCTTGCTTTGTCACTCCCTCTCTCTCCCTCCCTCCTTCTCCTTCTCTCTCTCTCTCTCGTGAGTATACGTGCCCTGTAGCAGATTTAAAATAATAATAATAAATAATAAATTAATTTTTTTAAAAATAACAATTTTTATGTAAGAACAGAGACTATTCTGGAATAAGGAAAAGTACATTCACTCTCACAGTAAATCTCCATGTAACTCCGCCACTTTGAGTAAAATGAGCTACTTTGTTTTGAGCAGCCAATTGGGTTTTGTTTTGGTCAGGGTCTTCCTGTTCAAGCCTCCCGCCTCAGCCTCCCAGCCGGGAGTAGAGAGCACACCACCACAGCCAGCTTTTTTTGTTTTAAGATTTGATTTTATTTATTCATTAATTTTTTATTTTTAATTTGACCAGAGAGAGAGAGAATGCCTTAACCACCATGCCACCTGCTGGTCCCCACACCCAGCTTTCTCAGACACCATCTCACTGTGTTGCCCAGGCCAGCCTCTAGCTGGTGACCCTCCTGCCTTAGCCTCCCTGAGTCACTGGGATTACAAGTACATGCCACCACACCTGGCCTTTAGGTTGGATGAGGAATCAAACCCTGGCCTCCCATGTGGTCCCAGCTGGGGAACACTGGCTCAGAAGCATAGGCCGCCACCATGGCTGGGGTCAGGTGAGAAGCTTGGTTAGGTCATATCATGAGTCACTGGTAAGTCCAGTCCAGAGCTGTCTAGTACAAACACAATCTGAGCCATACGTCATTTTCCACTATACACATTAAAAAAAAAAAAAAAAAACTAAGATAGTGCCATTTCAGCATGTAATAATTGTTTAAAAATTACTGAGATACATTACATTCCTTTTGCATACGAAGTCATCAAACTTTAAAATCTCATGGCAAGTCTGTGTGGACTAGCCACAGAACAAGCACTCAACAGCTAATGTGGCTAGTGACCACGTTGGACAGCACAGCTCTAGAACACGGCCATTCTAGCTCGAAAAGTCGACTCTCCAACAGTTCTTCAGCAATCCCAGAAGCTAAGACCCAGCCATCCTCCTACAGGTAGACAGGGGACACAGGCGATGGGAGACTGTCCCCAGCCTGGCTCAGGGCAGGATGCACTATGCCCCTGAAGTCTCTCCTCCCCACCTGTGGCACCTGTCCCCTCCCCTTCGGGCCAGCTGGCAGCTGACCTCTCACCTGCTGGACGGCAGCCAGGCTGTGCAGCTGGGCGTTACTGAGCTGCTGCTGGAGCATGAACTGGTGGAAGTACTGAGCTGCATTGGGCTGCCGCTGCAGTGCCTGCAGAGCCTAGGAGGAGAGAGAGGACAACATTTAGAATGGGTTGCTCCAAAATCCTATGGAAAGCATTAGGATCAAGTGAAAGGGAGTCACGGCAAGGAGAGACACCAAGGGAGACGGGAAACGGGGCTAAATCATCAACACTGATTTGTCTATTTTTATATTAGAACCAGTAAGTCTATACAGGCCTCTAAAAACTGGAGAGCAATTAATTCTTTTTTTTTCTTTTTTTTTTGAAGAGGTTTTTTGCTATAGGGCGCATGCGTTCGCCAGAAAGAGAGAGACAGACAGAGAGACAGAAAGCAAGAAATCACCCCCCCCCCAGGAGGGATGGCCACGCCGCAATCCCTTCTCTTCCATTCTCCTCTCAGGATCTTCGGCACGCACACACACACGCCCGGCGTGAGTTTAAGCCACCGAGTCCAGGACTCAAACCGCAGTTGACTACATGGGAGTCCAGCGACATAGCCATTACGCAAACTGCTGGTCCCGAGAGCAATTAATTCTATGGTCTATTCTCATATGTAAAGAAAATAAAGCAGTGCAATTCACAAGAATTCTTATTTCCCAAAATGAGGCCTGGAAATCCATGCGATTGCAAGGACCAGACAGGCTGAAAAATAAATGTGATGGTGAATGTGGAGGTTAATGTAAAGGTCAGCCCTGTAGCACACAGCTATGCAAAGGGAACCAGATCCCATATGGCAACCACAGTCTGAACCCAGGTCCTGGAGGCTTGGAAAACATGCCAGGCACATGTGAATATGTGCAAAAAAATCCCGACAGGATGGAGAAACAGGGAAAAGGACTGCAGCACGACCATGTCCCATTGGGGGTTCTTTCACACTTTCTCTCTGGCAATGTACACGCACCCTCTAACAATTAAAAAGGAAAAGAAAATGAGGGCCATCAGGTGGTATGGTAGTTAAGGTGCTGGATTCCCACATGATCAACCACAGTTCAAGTCCCGGACCTGGCAGCTTGCCTTCTTACTGTCCCTCTCTTTCTGTCTCTCTGGTGAATGCATGTGTCCTATAGCAAATTTAAAAATATTAAATTAATAGCTTCTGAAAGATTCTATCAGGTAAAATTTTCAACCAACTGGCACTTTCAAATATCTCTAATATAAAACTAATGGAGCTCAGGACAAGCAGTTGGCGTAATGGCTACGTCGCTAGACTCCCATGTAGTCGACCACGGTTCGAGTCCGGGAGCCAGGTGACTTAAACTCACACTGGGCATGTGTGCGTGCGTGCCCAAGATCCTGAGAGGAGAATGGAGGAGAAGGGATTGCAGCGAGGCCATCCCCCTGAGGGGTGATTTCTCACTTTCTATCTCTCTCTCTGTCTTTCTGCGGAGCGCACGTGCCCTATAGCAAAACCTCTCAAAAAAGAAAAAAAAAAAAACTAATGGAGTTTATGAAAATGATACTGGAAATTTAGCTTTAGTAGCAACTGTATTAAACCACATTCTTATTCTCTAATAATTAGAGCTATTCTTATGATATGTATATAGTTAATACTCAATCAAAATATTTTTAGTAAAGGTCTCATTCTCAAACAGAGCTAAAACAAACACGGGATTTGCCTTTTGTTCAAATAAATCTCCAACAGAGGTCCAAGATACTTCTATCACTCAGTGATTTACAAGAAAGGCCACGTTGTGTTTGCTTTCTGTTTTTTAAGAGAGATTTCTGCTATAGGGCACGTGCACTCTCCAGAGAGACAGAAAGTGAGAAATCACTCCCTGGGGGGATGGCCACAATGCAATCCCTTCTCCATTCACCTCTTGGGATTTGGGGCATGCACGCACATGTACTCAGGGTGAGTTTGAAGCCACTGGGTCCAGGACTCAAATCGTAGTTGACTACGTGGGAGTCCAGCGACATAACCATTATGCCATCGGCTGGTCCCATAAAGGCCAAATAAAAACTGGACAACCCATAAAAAGAAATGGTTTGTTAGAATCTAGTTAGATGGTTGATAATGTTCAGGGAATGAATGTAAATTAATTAATTTTTTAAATGTTTCAGAGAATAAATAAATATAAAAGAATCTAGTTAGATGGACTGAAGTTACCAAAAAAAAAAAAAAAATGTAATTAGAAGAATGAATTTCATTCTGTTTGCTTCCCCAAACCTTTGTGACCTCCTAGGATTCTCAGAGCCACAGGGAACCTTCGTCATGACCTAAGCCAGCTCTCCCAATTTGCTGGAAAGGAAGGAAGAGCATCCTCTCCAGCCAACCCCTACAGATCACAGCCCCTCGCAACTGGGCCTCACCTGTACTGCTTGTCGTTCATACAGTGACATCTGAGCAATTTGGGGCCGAGAGCTGCCCCCCGAGCTGGAACTCCCATTGGTGGAGTTAGAGTTCTGCTCGCTCTCTGTCTCCATGACAGTGGTCCAGGGTCCCCAAGGTCGGTGCTCTGACTCAAGACCTAGATGGAAACAGCAAGGGATTAAAATGTACACCGTGAGCCCAAACTGTTATTTCATGTTTTTATTCAAGACCACAGTTAAGGCCCTAAGTTCTAAGAATTCGTCTCTTCTACCATAAACCATGATTTCTCTCATTTTAGAACTCTGAAATCTGCAATATCCTCTTATTGACCACATCTTCCCACACCACCATCTTTCGCTGCAGTGTCCCAAAAGAAACAACCTTTCTCTATTCCCTCATGGCTATCGTTAAATAAAATGAACAGAATATAAGACACCTTCTAATACAAAAGCCATCTTAGAGTCCCAGAGCACTTCTTTGAACCGTTTAAACCTTCCCATTATCTTATTTTTATCTTCACCTGCAGCATTTTTATCTCAACAACAGTCAACCTTTTTTGCTAAGCTATTGCGTGCCTTTTTTCACTGAGACTCTTCACCTGTATTCTCCCTCACAATGCTATACGCTAAATATAATTATCCCCATGCTACGATGGTGGAAACGAGGTTTCCTGAGGTTGAGGAAGTTGCCCCACCAAGTTTTTACACCTTGCACATGCTTCTTCAGACCAAAGGATCTGTGACTGAGGCCGCGGTCACTCAGCATTAGCATTCATCGTCGTCTTTTTATGGAGGGCCGTAAGATACAGTATGTCAAACGAGTCATGGAAGGTCATGAAAGTAGGAGGTAGAAGAACTAGCCTACAGCCCATACAGCCCCAAGAGCTGCCTAGTTTCAGCTCAGGCTGATAACAGTGCGAGGATGTCGCTCTCCCTCCTCACACCTCAGTTTCCCCACTGGCAAAGAAGAGTTGACACCAAATGTAATACGTCATTTCAACAAATAACGTCCAGAAATGAAGCACAGTATATAATAATGGGAATATTCACGAAAGTCATGTTCAGCTTTTTAGTCTACTAACGTATTGGAACATGCCTTCTAACTTTACTACACGAACATCTGCAAGACACAAATGGGAATACTGCTAAGAACCAAGCAAAGAGACAGGAGGTGAGAAGCGAGAAATATTCTTCCCAAGCAACACTAAAAAACGATCAAGGTTTTTGCACACTTCTCACCTCCCTCTTTTGTTAAACTCGCATACTACCTTCGCTACTCCTGAGGCACCGGGCACTAGAAATATCAGGTCAGCAGAGCACTATTTGGTTTAGGAAGGTAAACATCGCGGCAGAATTGCTGCTAAGGGCAGTCAATAGTTTTATCCTAGGGCTTGCATCCAAAAGAAATACGTAAGCAAAGTAAATACAGGCAAACTGCGTGGCCCTGGCAATAAAGCTGGGCGATTTCTCATCATTTCTTCTCAGTATCATCTGCTCACCGCATTATCCCCCCAGAACCCTACTCTGCTCTTCGGATTCACCCAGGAACAGCAAATGTCACTGCACACCCGGATATAACCCAAAAAGTACATAGGAGAAATGATCAGCTTCAACTCGAGTCTCCCCTGTCCCCTTATCTTTTTGCCCAAGTATCAAAGCACTGAACAGATACAGACCCATGAATCCTCATCATCAGCATGTGAAGAAAAAAAGGGGGGAAGGATTAGAGGCAGAGCGCACGGTTGCATAGCTTACTGGACTTCTTTCACTGGGCTCAGAAACACGAGAGCCCTTTCCGGGCTACAGCGGGAAATAACTCCTAGGTCCCCACGTGAAAATGCTGGTAAACTTATGCCCCCCCACCTCTCCCCCAAACGGAACTCCTGCTTTTTCTGTACATGTTGTGAAACAGAAATAGAGATGGAAAGGGAGCAACTTCACGTCTTTCACTAACATCAGGGGAAACTGCCTCCAAACCAGAATTCCTGGGTCCCGGGCACATAAATCTATTTGTTTTTTGACCCACGATATAACTGCAGGATGGAACACCGAAAATGAAGACAATAAAGTTTGGGAGGCAAAAAAGGAATTGACATTTTCAGAGTTCCACTGGAAGAGAAAGAGTGAGAAGCTGATCTATACCGGTCCCCAGCGCAGATGAGCCAGGGTCACCATCCATGGGAGCATGTGGGTGCCCACGTGTGGGGTGGGGTGGGCGCACAGACCTCTGCTTGGAACTCGCAAGGGCTCCCTGGGGCGGGCTGGTACTGGGCCGACCGGGTCAGGAGCTGGAGGGAGCCAGTACCCCTAAGCATTAAAACTGTCTGAGAAAGGACGGGAGAAGGGGATGGCTCGGGGGGACAGTGCCAAAGAAATGGAAGTGATCTGGAGAACTGGGGTCCTCGTTCCGTGCCCAGGCTGGGTTCAGTGCACCGGGAAGGGGGCGGACACAGCGGGGTGCAGGAGTGAGCCGGGCACTGTGCATCCTGAGGGGGACAGGCGGCAGACAGAAGTCTGGGAGCCCGGCCGACCAAGAAAAGCGGGGAGCTAAGTGGACAGCATGCTGGGGGGCGAGGACCAAAGTCAGAGAGGGAAAATGAATGGGAAGATGAGCGGTCAGCGGCAGGCGCGGGGGCGGGCGGGGGGGGGCCGGGCCTGGCG